ACCATGTTTCTATGTACCTCTATTTCCACAAGACCTGTTTATACCTTTCTTGTCATCTCTTTGTTTATACTGTTGGTCCCTTTCCCCTGCTTTAAACTCCAGCTGCCAACAGGTACAGCCTGCCAGCCTGGTTTTTGTAGGCCTCTGGTATCCATCCCATTGTTGTAAGCATTTCTAGTGCAATAGCCACTCACTAAGATTTGATGACCAATCATTGTCCCAAGTCTAGAGGGTGCATGTGAGAGGCCTTGCAAATGAGGTCATCCCATAATGACAGGAATATTCAGAACACAGCAATGTCTGTGGTTACAGCTACATAAGAACTCAGGTCAGCCAAGGTGAGGACCTGGTACAAGTTTTTCTTAGAAAGTTTATAATGTTTTGACAATCTCTCAGCTAGAGTTTAGAGAGGCTTGCAAAAAACACTATCACATCTAGAAGCTAAACTGGGAGGATGAGCAGGGATAGAAGTTATTTAAACTTTAGCTTGATTTATCATTTACTAAAACATTAAAAAAAATCAGTATAACACTTGAATATGAAATATTGTTGAACTGATTCTTTTAAACATCTCATTTCTTTAAGGACACTCTTGGGAAACCCCCAGCTAAGGAAATTCCACTGGTTGATCACTGCAAATACAAGTGAGGTTTTGATCACTACATCTGTTCAAGGGCTACTATTTGTGTTGCTAAACTTATTTGTTCTAGTATAATGTTTTATTTTTAAGGCCCTGGTCTTGCAGCTAATTCCATTCAGACAGGCAGACCCATGCATTAGTTGTGTGGAGTCACTTGAAGGTTTGGGAGCTGTGTTTGGCCCCTTTAAATGTCAGATTCAGGAACCTGGCAAGGCTGGAGTGTGAATGAGAATTGAAGTTTTTTGTAGGAAATAAGCACAGAAGTCTTTCTTAGATCCCAAATCACAAATAAATGCATGTATTGATTGAAAATGCTCCACTAGAACCTATCAACAGCTGTTGGTGACACCAGATCCTTTTTTGTGATCTTCCATTCAATTTGTCATAGCCATCATGTTTCTATTGCATTAATATAATCATCATGATTGCCAATGTTCTGTGGACCTTTTCCCCTGCCAGACAGTGGAAAACCTACCAGTCCTGATCTGGCTCCCACTGTTGGGAGTTTGGGGTGAGATGTGCCCTTCAGCTTAGCCTCGTCTAAGTGAGACCCCACTGGCTGTTATACTAAAGGCAGGGGAGGGGAGACAGAAAATGCAGAGTAGTTATTTATAGCCTAGGCTCCACAAGTTTTTAACTTGGAGTAAAGGCACAGAGCATGTTACCAGAGCAGACAAGAATTTTACAAACCTTAAAAATGTCTTTAGCTATAGGTTTGATGGCTCTGGGAAACCCATACAAAAATGTGATTTATTTTTTTACAGATACCTTTTTAATTTTCGCGGGGTGGCAGCCAGCTTCCGTCTCAAACATCTCTTCCTGTGTGGCTCACTTGTCTTTCATGTGGGTGAGGAGTGGCTGGAGTTTTTCTACCCACAGCTGAAGCCTTGGGTTCACTACATCCCTGTTAAATCAGACCTCTCTGATGTCAGGTGAGAGACTAAAGCTGATCTGCCTGGTATTACCCAGTAATGGCTAGGGGATTATTCAGCCTGATTTGCTGTAGTGGGCTGAATGCTTGAAGTATTATGCAGACTGATTTGCTGTAGTGGGCTGAATGCTTGAAGTGTGATTTTAACCAGTAAGTACCCATACCTTGTCTCATATTCAGAGCAGCAAAGGTAGAGTATCAAGCAGTGGCTGAGCAATTGGCAGTTCCTTAGAGGGATGGGGGGTGTATGTGTGCGTGTTGTTTTCTTTTCTTTGCAGATGGGGTGTGTATGTGTGCGTGTTGTTTTCTTTTCTTTGCAAAAGAAGAAAACAAAACCCTCAGTATGTTTTAGTTAGATACCAAGTGGATTAAAGCCTTTCACATGTAAAAGGTAAACAAGTTACTGCCCTGATTAGAGGCATACAAGGCATGTAGACAGTCTAGTCTAATATTGTCTAGATTACTGGATGCATTTTGGATTCTGCCCATAATTTTGTAATGTAAACCTTTGTTCTGAGATCCCGATCAGAGGGCTATATTGAATTTTACCAAGACATTCAGTACATCTTGGGAGGTGGGGGAGGTAGAGAGCAAAAATCTAAAAATCGAGGCAAGCCCTCAGCATTTCTGACATGCAGAGTACAAAAGAGAGCAGTTGGCCTACCCAGTAACGCGTTCCAACAGCTCTCCAATCTCGGAGTTGACTTCCTCTCCCTCAGAACTGCCCGTTGCTGCAAACTACAAATGTATTCCTGGTTATGATATTAGCAACACCAATAGTACATGATGTTTGAGAATCCACAAATCCATCTCTGCCACAGTAGCCTGGCCCAGAGTTGCAGTACTCTACCTTGATGCTGTGGTTACCTGCTACCTGTTGTCTTCATTTTAGGGAACTGTTGCAGTTTGTGAAGGAAAATGATGATATAGCACAAGAAATTTCAGAGCGGTAAGTTTTACATCCTTCCTGACGCAGGGAATTCTCTTTCCTGTTTCATCAGCGAGAAGTGCAACCTGTAGAGGACAGCCTTGTGATAACAATGCACAGTGTATTTATCATAAGCAGTGAAGTTGTATGGTTTACACTACTAATGACAGAGTAGCATCATTTCACATTATAGCCTCTAGTTCAGATCTGATGCTGTAGGCCCGTCATCCCCTCTCCCAAGAGCCAGGGGGTCTTAACTTTAGGCCACTTTGTAAAATGTGCTAACTTCAGTGAACAAATGTCCACATCACAAAAATGCCACCACTGGTTGTAGTATCTGGTGCTCTTAAGGAAATAGTCAAGGCTCATGGGTAAGCCAGTGTTGGGAAAGCTTGTACTGATATCCTCCAGACTATTCCTATTCGTTATTCACAAGACATTTCAGTCTTTAGAGGCTTCAGTGCTAGCGAAAAGTCAGCTTAACATTTATAAAAAAGTAGTACTGCATGTTGCTCTTCAAAAATATATGACAACCCCAGACACCAATCAGCAAAAGCCAGATCAAAAGGATTTGATTTGGCAAAAAACCCTGAATCAAAGGATTTTTTTTTTTGTCAGAACCAAGAATTGACTCTGGTCTGATATTTTTGTTTGTCTTCAGAGGGCGCCAGTTCATCACAGACCACTTGCGGATGGAGGATGTCTCTTGTTACTGGGAGAATCTGCTGACTGAATATTCTAAAACCCTGACTTACAAAGTTAAAAGGAAGAAGAACTACGATGTTGTCTCCAAACATTTGAAAACGGAGCTTTAAAAGGCTATTATGGTTCTCTCCAATTCAAGGCCTGTAGCTGGTGATCACTGTGGAAATCCAAAGATTACATATCTTCTCTTAGATTCCTTTCAACACAGCCCATACACTAAAACTATAGTAAACAGAAGAATTGGAACGTAACATAATTCCTGTATGATCCGATCTCATCACACAATATCTATAACACCATTAGCTAGGCCTAAACTCCTAGATAAGATAGATAAATAATGAAGTGACTATGTTTAGTGTTCAGAGCAGGGAACTGGGTGCTGCTACCACCTACCTCTGACTCGCTATGGACCTGACCTAAACTCCATTGCAGTCCATGGAATCCTTGGGGTTATAACACCTCTGTGACCGTGGGCACATCATTTAGTCCCCCTGTACCTCCCTTGTACTACTATTTTTGGCAAATTGTCACCATTATTTTAGTAATGTGATGATGGTCAGGGGACAGGCATTTCTTGTCAGCAGCAGAGATTGGGGGTTTAGGTTAGTTTTATGGGTAATTTAGAATATAATTTTTTTTGTAGGTTTATGTAATTTTGTAAGAGCTCAGATGCTCAGGCCAAAATGGGCAGTTGAACACTTGTGCAAACTTCCTACCTCATAACCCATGTGTGTAATGTTTATAGCATGCACTGTAGTCCTGAGGTGAGGGGGGCAGTTGTAACGCAGTGTTCTCACTTTGAATACAGCTCTCCTTTACTTGCATTTGCTTTTAAGGGCTGCATCCAGACAAGCGTGGCCATACAGTATGTGGCACCACAGACCCGTCCATGGTGCCACTCACCGCACGTTTTGGCATTCCCTGCGCTGCCACTACCTTGCAGCATGGGGGGTGGTTTTTTGAACCCTGAAGATCCGGGGGCAAAAAAACTGGCACAGAAAAAAAAGAGTGGTGCATGTGGAGGCAGCACACAGTGCCCAAAATGAGCCTGGCCAGCTGGAGGTGTACCTGCAGGCTCCCAGGTAAGATTTCATAGACATTAGGGTGGAAGGGACCTCGCTACATCATCGTCCAGCCCCCTGTCCAAGGGGCAGGAAGTCAGCTGGAGCAAATGATCCCAGCAAAATAGGCATGCAGGTGTTTCTTGAAAGTGTCCAAAGTAGGTGCTTGCACTACCTCTGGGGGGAGTCTATTCCAGGCAGCTGGGGCCAGCACAGTTGCTGGCCCTAGCCTCCCCTACCCCACCCAGGGTAACCTGCCACCCACTGAGGGGTGCATGGAATGGGCGTTTCCCAGGGACAACTAGCAATGACACAAGGTATGCCGCTGATAGTTATCCCTGGGGAACCAAAGTTCCTGCTTATCTGGACACAGCCAAGGTCTTGCAGTAAGGCCATACTTTCTGACCTAGGATTGCTGAATGGAGATTTTATTCTGTACATTCCTTTGGATGCTTATCTTAAATGTGTGTCTGTCTCTCTCCTTTTGTATCCATGTAATCTCTTTACAAATGCTGTCAGCTTGGCTGACTCCCAGAACACTAGTTTTGGCTGTGAATGGTTGTGTGTCAGTGGGATTCTCCTCTTTACAGCCTCTGAAGAGTACACAGCAGAGTGAAGCAAAGTGCTAAGACTGGTCTGAAACACAGTGGTGGGGAAAAAGGAGACCAAGGCAACAGCTTACCGTCTCCTCCTTTGGCAAGTATGTCAAAGGAGGAGAAAACGCACAATCTCATCATCCTGATAAACTGTGGGGCTGCAAATTTTGAGCACCTGCCTGACCATGCTGCCTGGAAAGCACTGCTAGCTCCTAGAACAAGGCACTGTGGACCAGACATGGTAGCTGGAGCACCAGTTGCAGGGCCACTGGCTGGACTGATATAATTCCAGCACATAAAATAATTAAATCAGATTTTAAAATTAACTTGATAAGAACTGTCCAGTAGTGGATTTTTTTTGTTGTTGTTAAAAGCTTGAATGATCGTTTTTAAAGAGGAGTCAGTTATCTCGAATGATGAAACCGATTATTAACCATATTTTTTTAAAACTTATTTTTTGTTTTTAAGTGCTTTTAGATTAAAAACAAACAAACTCCTGTTTGTTGGCTGGATTATTTCTCAATTAAAGGGAAGATTTTGCTGTAATCAAGGATCCAAGGATCTGGACAGCCAGATCTGGATGCTTTTAGCGGAACTGTAGTCTCAGGGGAATGGGATTTAAATATGGAGCTTTTAACATTTAAGTCACTGATTCATAACTAGTCCAGATTGGTAATGATTGATAAGTGTTCAGTGCCAGAGTGAAACAGTTCATGCATTTCAATTAATTTCCTCTTTCACATCACTATAACAGTCATAATGCTTTAGCCTTTTTGTTAGCAGGTTCAAAGAAGCCTGGGAGTGAACCCTTTAATCTCTAGAGATGGTTGCTCCCTCATGGGTAGCATTGATGGAGCTTCCCTCTTCTGCAAGCTTTTCATTAGTTGTACTGCCGTTGTACTATACATATGCCCCAGTATGCCTCAAGACTCCATTGTGGTAGGTACCTTATAAGCATACAGTGAAAAGACAATTTTGAATGCAAGATAAAAAACAGGAGCACATGAAACAAGGAATCAAGATTGATCAGCCTAGCAAGCTGCAGGTCGGTCTTGCACGTCGGCTGGTTACCTTAAGATTTTTGTAAGCATCAAAGGAGAGTTGAAAGGATGGTTTTGAAGGGGGATGATAAAGAGGCCTTGTGGGGATTTCCCCCATGCATAAGGTGCTTTTTTGAAAGTGTAAAAACCATGTAAGCTGTCATCAATAGCAAAGCAGAGGTAGGTACCTGCTTTGTACACAGGAGATAGAGAGGGTGGGGATATAATGGCAGGGCCTGCCAGTTGTTTAAGGGGTAATAATTTACAGTCTGACACTAAGTGAAATATTAGGCACACCACTTCTAGGCAACCTGCGTCTCCCGACTCAATCCAGTGGGGCAGCTAAACTGTTCTCACTACAGACACAACTAACATCACATAAAGATGCTGCATTAACTTGAATATATGACGATGTGAGTATTGTCACGTGAAAGTCTTCATCAAAGGAATATTCCAGTCCATATATTATTTTAGTAAGACATTTCTATTACTCTTGGACTTTTAGAAATATATCATTTTTTTGACTGAAACATTATGCTAGGAAGATATAAAGGTGCAGGTACTTGAAATACAAACTGTAGTTATTTTGATGTGATGGAGAAAGGGAATCTGAAGGGGTACATAGAAGAGGTGATGCAGTCAAAGGTATGAGCCAAGGCAACTATCCTTGTAGTCTCCAAGGCAAACTAATTTTTTCCCTTCGAAATTTAAAAAGAATAGAGACTTGAACTACAGCTATGGGATAGTGATCATAGGAGAGAAGAGGAATGTATAGTTCCTTGTATTGTATTTTCAATTCTGAGTACCCTGGATATGCATTCTTTCTAATGGAAGCACAACAGATTTTCATTTCTCACATAGTTAAAAATAACTTCTGATCCTGCCAAAATCCAGAGGGCTGTAAAGGAAATGTAAACAGGGACTTGAGCAGAAACGCTGCAACTTCCTCTGTCCTTATGTTCCCATCATAGTGGCTTTTTTTTTGTCAGCAGATACAGGGGCTCCTTTGCAACTTTTACTGGGACAGGGAGGTCAATGAAATGTTATCAACTAGCAGTTCATTCTACTTTAAAGACTCTCCTTGCTATTCTGCATTCATATGATGGTCAGGATCCCCAACAAAGGACTGGACAAATTTCTGGAGGCAAGCGGCATCAGTAGTGGTTAAGCATGGGAGTGAGGGGGACAGACTCTGAATCAGAACTTCCTAAGCCTTAAATGCTGGAGGCTGCAAGTGGAAAAAACCCTAGTCATACCCAGTTCACTCTCCCTTTCTGCATCCACTCTCTGCCACTGTGTGTCTTTGCTACTGGAGACTTAGATGCTGAATGGGTACAGGATGCAGCCATGGCATTTCAAGGCACAGACCATGTCCATGGTGGTCAGTCTTCCTTTAATGCGCTTGGCGTAGGTGATAGCATCCAGGAAAATCTTCAGCACCCTGTGGGTCTCCTCATAGATGAGCCCTGAGATGCGCTTCATGGCCCCTCAGCAGGCCAGGCAGTGGATGGCTGGTTTGGCCATGCTATAGATGTTGTGCAGTACCTGGTGGTAGTGCTTGGTGCCTCCTTTGCCTGGCTGGACGTCTTCACAAGGGAACTGAAAGCATAACATGTAGAAATGATGCTGGGCAATATGGCCCTGTGGGCTGAGCTAGTGAGTGGCAGTTCTTCCATTCTAATTGTTACTTCTGTATCCAGGCTCCATCCCGGAAGGTGCACGTCAGTGGTGTGGCCTCTAGGACAGACTTGGCACTGTCCAGATGGAAGTCATCACTTTGCTTAGAGGGCATCAGCCTTGTTTTAAGTAGCATTCCTCCCTCGGGGGTGTGTGTGTGTGTGTGTGTGTGTGTGTGTGTGCACGCGCGCACGCATACAGTGGACTGTGTTTCCTGGCAGAGAAGGTTTAGAGGAGCCACGCTTAGCTCTTGCTTGGACTTCTGCCAGGTTCCCGGCTAGAGTGCCCCTATGCAGTTCTATATGTACTCCGGTGGTGCCGGGGGGCAGTGCTTTATTTAGAGTGGCACCTGGAACTGCTCTAATTAAAGCGCCACTGCATCACATGTATCAGTGTTCCCAGGCTTCAAAATGATGGTGGAGGCACTTGAAATAAAGCTCATTCAATGAACTTTAGTTCAAATGCCCTGTCACTATTTTTAAGTGTGGGGACGCCAATGCATGAGAGGCAGGAGGATACTGGAGAGCAGTAATTGCCACGGTCCAGCAGATTTGATTGAGTCTCCTCCGACATGCTGGAATTCCAACATGTTGGAGCAGCCTCCTCACTTCTGATACCCAGAGCCATCCCTAGGGATGTGTGGGTCCTGGGGCATATCAGCTTGTGCGGGGCCCAGGGGGCGGCAAGCTAGCGGAGCAGGGGTGGCAAGCGGCTGGGGCCAGCAGCACTCAGCAGTGGCAGAGCCAGCAGCGCTCGGCAGTGGCAGAGCCAGTGGCACTCAGCAGCGGAGGCACGTGGCAGCTGCAGCAGGGCCTGTACAGCGCTGTCTGCAGGGTCCCGGGCACCCCAGCTTGGGACAGCCCTACTGATGCCAGCCCCTTCTGTGTGTGGAGCGAGACCCTGGTGCACGTGGCATGCCTACCTGGAGCATGCCAGGCTGCAGCCTCTCTTTCACCTCCTCCAAAACCTGCTGAGGTTCTGGCTGCACTTCTTCCTGCATTTTCATTTATGCCCTTCCCATCTGGGCCCCTCTCCCCAAGCCCTAGGACCTCCTGGTCAACCTCCTCCTGGCCAAGTCTAAGCTCACAATATGTTTGGCTGGGAAAGGAGGTTCTGGCCAGGAGGGCCCCTGGGGACTGCTTTCCTGTCCCTTGTTCCCTCATGTCTCCAGGCAGAGCTGCACAGGGCAACATTCAGTAGCTCCTCCGA